TTGAGCGAATATGAAATATTACTACAAGAACCTTTCCCTTCCCGGCTCCCCTGCTTTTCCTCGAACCTTCCTTGAATCCTTTTGACCTGTAATAATCTTCTAGACTATCAAGCAACTGACTCCTGGTAATGAAGACTGCATCTAAAAGCTATAGATTAAAGTTAAAGAAGTTATAATAAATATAATGAAAAGTCTGCGGTGTTCAATTTTATTAAAAATTTCCAATGCCACCTCCCACGAACGCGAGCCTTGTTTCGACTAGCCGTCATATGAAAATCTGATGTCCAACGCTTACCAGAATCTGATCCTAACTAGATCACGGGAATTTCGGGTAATCTCGAGTCGTTTACTGATAAGCACGTGATTTTCTTATGTGAATGTCGTTATTAATTCGTTCCATTACCATTCCAACCGCTATCCCATATCCCATCATTTCCATTAATCGTTGATGGATTGCTATTCGTGCTAGAGAAATTGACAGGAGTATGCACCCTTCTACTGCTGATTCCACTGGAGGGCGACATCATTATTATCGGGTCGATGACCCGCAACTCGTCTTTTATCGTGCTTCGGGATAACGTGTCTATCTCTTTGGCTATTAGCGCGATAATCTTTTTGAATTTTCCATCAACCTTCTGGACACTCTCAATGAAACTTGTTGTCAATGTATGGGTGGTTCCCGTCAATAGCTTATTGTACACCTCCACCAATATATCGCATAAGGTGTAAAAGGTTTGAAAATAGTCCAGCTCAGACGGCTGCTGATCTAATCAGATAACGTTAATTATACGCAAAATTGAGTCTTAAGATTCAAATCTTCTTTGCTTACCACATTCGGCACAAATAGATAGGTATATTCTCCGCTCTCCTGAAAGGAGGCATCATCATCCTTCACTATTTTTGACTTTCGGAAAAACATTTTCTTGAATGAAAGAGTAGGCAAACCCAGTTATGCAAAATTTTATTAAAACTGCAATACGTGTGTATGTATAATAAATAAAATAAATTTACCATCTTTTGTTTTGAATGTTCGGTTGTATGATATTCGAATTCTTGTAACATTACGCTTAAAGCTTTCACATAATCTTGCGAATTGGTAATATCAAGTATCGGTGCAAGAGAGGCGCCAAGGATGAAAAAGTTTCCCGTACTGTGGTTAGGAGAGAGAACTCCATCAAAATGCAATTCATAATTTATGATTCAAAAATGAAAAGTGAGGGAAGATAAACTACCGTTTCTTCATCCTCAAATTTTCATAAACCATTCCCAAATCTTCTTTGCTCAGACACACAGTGTTAAACCAATGCACTTTCCCCTCGTGCACTTGCTTTAAATATGTGAACGTCGAAATCCTTTTTTGCACAAGCTCATATAAGGAGTCATATGAAGACGCGGTTCCATTACTGTCGGATAGTGCTGAAGAGCTCGGAGGGGATCGTGGAGCGGGCTGTGGAAAAGATGCGGCCGGTAGAATCGTTACCGGAGAGGCATTCGACGTCGACGAGGTAGCGGTGGTGTTTGAGTTTGTCCCAGATTTGTCCATTAATGATCAATTCTCTCCGTTTTTAAATAAAAAATCGATTATAATTACGATAAAAAATGACTTTTGATATGCTCTGACTTTCAATACCATCGACCGAGAAGGATGAGCGGTCGCCTTGAGAATATTCAACTCCCACAAAGAAACGGATGGCTTGACGCACGAGTGGTAGGTATCGCATATTAACGTGCATCATGACGCACAACGTTGTGCAACAAACAATACGCACGTACAAATTTGCGCTTCCCTTTTGTACCACAACTTTCACGAATTCTTAACCTCGTGCCGAACAATGGAGCCAACAAAACTTGTCGAGATCAGTAGTGACAGCGATCTCGATGGAGGAGACACGCTGAAACAATCTATTCCGAGCGGACATGATAGTTTCGATATTGATTCGAGTTCGGATCTAGATCCTAACGAGATTGTGAAAGAGATACCGATATATTTATCGCAGCAACTTTCAAACAAACTTTACGCAGTTCAATTTCCCGTCAGACCACGCGCAAATCCCTACGTGGGCAAAAATACTCCCCGCGAAGCGCGGTATAAACCGCAATCGGATAAGCTCGAACTCGACATTCCACTACAAACAAACTCCCTATGGTATAATCGCGACCGAGGCGAAGAATTGATGTTGGGCCTTAATGATAAAGAGGCGCAAACCATATACGATCGAACATGGAAACGAGATCAACCCGATGGATTGCTGGACAAACAGACCCTGCAGTCCACGGTTGTCCCACCACAAGCCAATTACTGGATGGGTGTAATGAAGGATGGTAGATTTAATTTGCATTTTCCATCGCCATCTTTCCAAAAATACATAGGCGCGTTTGTATTTTGATACCCTTTTTATGCTGAAAATTACAGGTGGTCTTCACTTGACACCGGTACGCGCCACATTGCAACTACGTCCAGGACTGAAATATCTGGATAAGATCGATGAAAAGAATAAAAACGCGAATAAAAAAGCCCAAGTTCTTGAAGAAGAAGAGTTTACGAATGTCAAATCCACCAACGATGATCCCGGCGTCGGTTCCAGTAAAAGCAGGGGAGCCGGGAAGGGAAAGGTTCTTGTAGTAATATTTCATATTCGCTCAAGCTTAAAATGTTTTTGTTTGTAAATCTTATTCTATGATCTTTATCTCCAGAACGCAACCGCTGACAAAACCGCTGATAAGTCAATGTTAAAAAAGAATTCCCGACCAAAATCTCAAGGGTTGGGAGAGGAAGACACATGGATGAAGATGAAGTATTGTGATGACGAAGTGAGCGCGAACGATTTAATCATCACATGTTACAGGATACGAGTCGATTATTCCTCGTGTTTTCTAAAGGCGATCGATTTTTTTCGCAAATTTTTTTTTTTTTTTTAGTCTATCGAAACTTCCGACATCTTTGATCGTATTTATGCCGTGCGGACTGATTCACTGGTATGTAAGACGACGAGCATGAACGAATATCTGGATCAGATTAGTGCTTTTTCCAAGGAGTTTAACGGTACAACACCGAACCCCGAGGAAAGCAGGCAATCATACGACATCTATCAATATGACCGAATCCCCACTTCCGATCTCACATCATCACCTGTTGACACTGTGTCTGCGAGACTTCAACTCAATGACGCAGCCAAGGCAGCATCCGGAAATCCTAAAAGTCAAGGCCACCGAGGAGCCAAAGTTTCGAGAGGATCTAGAGGAACAACAAGGGGTGGTGCATCAAGAGGGAAGAAAGGCCCTGTTCAACGTGGAAGAGGAAACTGAACAATCAATTATGCTCAGTACGTTTCCGCGACAGTCGAGGAAGTGACGAAATACGAAAAATTCAAATTTATCGTTCTCGCAATTCCTCCAACGTTAAGAAGGAATTCGATATGAAAAGGCAACGACGACGAGTGTTGTTGAAAATTACAATTATGACGAAAATTGAACATTGCACAATTATAGGCTAATAGATTGACAGACAGGTGGTAATGAATTGGATCGAACTTTGACTAATTATTTGGATGACGCGTGGTACAAAAAAAAAAAATGATACGGGGACCCACTTACAATTGGAGAAAAAGAATCGATCGATTTAGAGTTTCATCAATTTTTGTAAACGATGTCTTTTCATTTTCCAAAAGTACAGATGTCAGATAATGACCAGGATATTGAATTATTTTGTTTCATTCATCAAAATATTCCAAGGAAATGACATTCGCGTTAATGAATTAAAGTCTAAATTCCTAATTCCTCTTTGGTCATAATTCCCAATTCTTCCTTGATAGGCTTCAATTCATCTAAATATTGGTTATATGTATTTTCGTTATCAATCTTGTGTTTGATTCCTTCGAAAATACGAACAGCCGTTGAGTAATCGTTCACACGTCTCGCGGCTTTGAGCGATGCTTCGATAACCGATGGTGCGGGCACTATGTCGTGAGCGAAACAATTGTTGAGGCCCCTTTGTAATTCGAAACGATCGTCAACGTTATCGAAGAATTTCACGTAGCGATCTGTGAACTCTTCGAATGACTCTTCTTTATGTGGTCCCGAATAAAAACGTAAACCTTTTATAACGATACCGAGCACACTCTAAGATATTTGTTTCGGTGAGAAATGTTTACTGCAAGAGGAAAAGCAACAAACCTTTGCTCAATAAAGCCCGACTAATATGAGAGTGACCGGTTACTAAACTATTGGTCGGAAACAATTTTGGAATATTCCCAGTAACATTTATAAGGCGACTCATGTTCTCTAGGTAAATATGGAGTTAGTTCATCTTTCCGTTGAAAAAAAAAAATTCAGTTTACAACCAATTATTGACCCCTGCAACAATTGCCGATTACCAACTAATCCTTGTAATATCGAATAAATGGAGATTATATTCACGTGCGAGCATTCAAAAAAGGCGCAAATTAAAACTCTGAATTGATTATATTGATATAGTGCTGCAAGGTCGGTAGAAACAATACACCCTTAGGGAATTCTCTTAGAAAAAAAATTTTTTTTTAAACAAAAAAAAAAAAAAAAAGAAAGAGTGATGGGACAAAGTAATCTTGACGAGTAAGGAGAGATTCCAACCTTTTTTTTGCGGTAATCAATTTCTCTAATCCTTTCACCAATACCCTTTTCCTGACGTTTCGCAAATCCCGCAAAGACAAATAGAGAAACTTCGTAATTGCGAACTAATTTCTGAAGAGGAGGTGAGAGAACTCTGCCGAAAAGCAAGAGAGATCCTAATCGAAGAAAGCAACGTGCAAAGAGTAAACGTGCCCGTGACAGTAAGGCTATTTTTATATGTTCATGGGTATATGCGCCTCGGAAATTTAGTTAATTCCGTTGTCATATACAATTCGAAATTTAATGACGATTTACTGGTTTAGGTCTGTGGCGACATACACGGTCAGTTTTACGACTTGAAAGAGCTATTCAAGGTTGGAGGCGATTGCCCGGAGACGAATTATTTATTCTTGGGTAAGTTGCATACTTCACCACCGATCTTATTTCCAGACGTAATCCGTTCGTGCATTGACGGATTACTTCAAATTTTGACAGGGGATTTTGTCGACAGAGGTTTTTTCAGTGTAGAAACATTTCTACTACTTCTAGCACTCAAGGTACACACCCTTATCAACATTCGTTTTAACCTCGCGATTCATTAAACATCTTTTTTACACGAAGAGAACCAAATTGGTTTTATATTTAGGTACGGTATCCCGATAGGATAACGTTAATACGTGGTAATCACGAATCACGTCAAATAACTCAAGTGTACGGTTTTTATGATGAATGCCTTCGAAAATATGGTTCGGTCAATGTGTGGCGACACTGCTGCGAGATTTTTGATTACATGAGTCTTGCCGCGATTATAGATGACAAAATATTTTGTGTGCACGGAGGACTATCACCGACCATAAATTCATTGGATCAGGTATTAACTACTCATTCGTTTATGCATCATTCTCCACGCGCATCTGTTCGCGTTTACACTCATCAAATGAAAATTAGATTCGCACGATTGACCGGAAACAAGAGGTCCCACACGATGGAGCCATGTGCGACCTTTTATGGTCTGACCCTGATGGTAATCCCGCTTTTTACATGTCCTGAACATTTACCTATTATCGCTAGGATATTCAAATTCCGTGATTCCGTTTAAAATTAGAAATTGAAGGCTGGGGTCTCAGTCCTCGTGGCGCAGGATATCTATTTGGTGGAGATATTGTTGCACAAGTAAGAGCGCTTGATAATATTTAACATAAGGTAATTACGTGTATTAATGGGAAATAACGCCGTATTGTTTTCTTAGTTTTTACAAACTAACAATTTAGAATTGATTGCGCGCGCCCACCAATTGGTGATGGAAGGCTACAAATTGATGTTTGATAATACCATAGTGACGGTGTGGTCAGCACCAAATTATTGTTACAGGTGATTTTCACACAAGGAACACGTTGCACCATGGAGTCATAGTCAATAACGATTGGCATTACTATTCGTAGATGTGGAAATGTCGCCGCGATCTTAAAACTGGATGAAAATCTAACAAGAGATTACAAAATATTTGAGGCGGCTCCTCAGGTATACACAATTTAAAATCGATTTTTTATTCACGTATTCACACTACGTTTGCAATATGATCTAAATTTTTTGCATCAGGATGTCCGTGGTCTACCTGCAAAAAAACCAGTTCCCGATTATTTCCTGTGATTTTTTGGCCCGCATTTATTAGCAAAGATGAATAGGGCTAGGAAATGGATACTTCAGAGCACGATTACGCGCCTAAAATATCATATATGTCCGTCCTCTTGGCAATCTTCCAACCTTGACGGATTGTATATAATGTCCTTAAGGTTTGATGGATTGCCAGACGAACCTGAATGCTGTCTTTTGTTATCTATTTATTCAAGGATATCATTAACCGAATTACATCATTTATAAATGAGGTACCGGGTGCCTTACTGTATTGTTCTATTGGTTCTGTTGTTGGATTTTTGTAAACTATTTTGAAAAAAGTTTTATGCACGTTTGCGTATGATTAATACGTTTAATCTTTACGCTCTTTGCGTAAATAAATAATCGTTGAATATTTTTGTGACTACATATTATATATAATAGGAGATTATTTTAGTCGCCTCAAAAATAATGCCCAATAATTTTTTGATTTTTATTTTTTTGCAATAACCCGTCAAGCCAGGCTGGTAGCATGCGTTTATTATGTTCATCTTTGGTTTTGGTGATCTAGGAAATTTATATATAAGTATATGTTTTAAATTATAAAGTTTGCATATTAAAATATTCACCAATCCTTTTGACAACATACAAAAAAGATATTCAGAAACCTTTAAAATTTTTTTTTTCATTTCAAGATAATAATAATATTTATAGATAATATTTGTTTTTTCAAATTGATATTTACTATTTATGATATTATTATTATCTTGAATTTTTTTTTTTTCATCAAAATTATTGCATTCAGAATAATCAATTTAATAAAATTAATTTATTTGTATCACTTATTTCAATATCAAAAATCTTATATCAATTACTCATTACTCAAGATCTCAATATCAATAAATTCTTTATAAATCAAATTAAAATATATACAGTAATCAAATATTTGCTTTCACATCTGTAAAAACTCAATTGAATAAAACTTTAACAAAGGCTAGAAAAGAATATATATACACCTTTAGAATTTAAGATAAATTATATTATAAAATTGATTTGCTGATATCTTTATCTAACAAAGAATCAAAATTTGTTTAATATATTTTTATAATTTCACAAATTATGTTGATCAAATTAATAAATAATATAATATAATAAATCAAATATCAAATTATAAAACATTAGATGGGTTTCAAAATAAATTAAATAAATTTAATTTATTTATTATATATTTGTAAATACAAAAATTATTGAAAAATATGATTAATTGAATTAATTGCAAAAATTCTTTTTGTTAATTCTTTTTTTTTTAACCCACAATTATATTATTATGACATGTCTTTATTAAGATATTAGAAACATCTATAACATTATATAAACTATTCATATGATAACTAACTAGTATTTATATATTATTAGTTAAAAATCACAATACTTAAAAAATATGAGAAATTTACTAAGCTAGTTTAGATTAAACAAAACAAAGTCTAAACTAGGTATTTTAAATCAGATTTAGGAACAATATTATACTACCCTGATAAATTGATTATAATCTCTATCTATCAGAATCATCACCTATAGTTTATTATTATAGATTATTCTAAAAAACAATGAATTGTTGAATTATATATGAAAAAGAGGAAAGAAAAAAAAAAACAATTCAAAACTTTTCAAAAAATTTTTATTTAAATAAATAACTTTTTCTCAAAAGAGATTTGCCTAGTTAGAATATTTTCTGAACTTTAGATTATCTAAAAAACTTAACTATTTCTAAGTATTGAGACTTAAGAAGAATATTTGAGAAGCTTATCATTCTACTAATATATAAATTTACTTATTATATTACTGATATCAATATCATATTACAATAGAATTAATCTGACCAGAATAAAGAAGCCTTTGCAAAAACTTTGCCTAATTGAACTAGAAGCTTGAAAATCTCAGCTTTCTTTTTGGAAAAGCTTTCTCACTACTTAAAAAACTTAATTAAGAAATAAAAATATTATGTTTTATATTTTTTGCTTATCTTTTGATATCATAACTATCCTTTCTAAAAACTTGTTCAATTGATAAATATCTTTTTTTATAGACTTTTCTTTTCAATCACCAATAATATCATCAGAATACATAAGTATAATCAATAGAAACTTGTTTATATTTTAAAAATTAGTATGTTTTATATTAGCCAATTAATTTTAATAAGGATTTTTGTTATTCAAAATTCGGGATCAAACTGATATAGACAAAATTCTTTAAAAAATCATGAAAATGGAAGTTCTAAGAAAATTAAAACAATCAAAAAGAAAAAAATAAGTTTTTTTTATTATAAAAAATCTTTATATATCTCTCACTTCAAAGATTATAAAGGTCTTCAAATACTTTACAATCAGTTTTTCTTCCTTTGAAAACTTTTCTACCATTGATATCAAAGGTATTATTTAACTTTTTTTAATTACTAGAAGTCAAGTTTTTGAGTAATAAGGTTTATAAATAAAAGGAAAAATATAAAAATGACTTTGAAAGTCATACTTCAAATTATTTTAATAAAAGTATTAAATTTTATTAGCAAAAAAATATAAAAATTTCTTGCAAATATTTTTTATATACTGTATACAATATAGTTAAAGGATTAGTAAAAAAAGTTTTTTTTATATATAATTAAAGAATTAGTGAAAAAGATTTTTTTTTTAATATCATGATTTTTTTTATTAATCCTTTGACAATATATAAAAAAAACATTCATAAAAAAGTTTTTATATTTCTTAACTAATAAAATTTTTATATTTTTTTTAAAACAACTTAAAGTTTATCTTTAGAAATTATTACTATACTTTCTTAATAATAAATCTCTAAAGTATTTAGTATATAAAATTTTACAAATTACTTATATTTCTTTTTATGATACAAATTTATACTTTTTACTTAAATAGAAACATAATTTAAAAATATTATAAATTAAAGATTTTAATAAGATATATAGACTTTTATTTCTATTTTTTATTTAAAGACTTATCTTTATCTTTTTCTATTTGTTTATAAACTTTTTTGAACAAAAACTTGGATTTTTTACTAGACAAAATTATGTTCTTCAATAGTTAAATTATTATTGAATTTAATTAAATTTAGTAATAAAAATATTGCAAAAAAATTTCAATTGCTACTATTCAGTATTACTATTTTGGTAATAAAGTAATAATAAAAAATTTATTAATTAAAAATTTATTAATAAAAAATTTATAAATTAAAAGTTTATCAGTTAAAAATTCAACAATTAAGAATTCAATAATAAATTATTAATAAAATAATAAAAAAAATATTTGACAATTAATAATATATAAATAATTTATAAAAAAATTTATTAATAATTCAATAAAAGTTTATTACAAAATAATTTATTAACTATCTATTAACTATTCAAGATCTATAGATCGATAGTGCAGTGGTTAGTACTCCATAGATTAGATCATAAGATACAAGTTAAAATTCTGCAGAGAGCATGAACACTTATTTGTTGGCCTAACTTTATATAACCGATGTTTTCAAATATAGCTATTGATTAGCAGGGAGAGAACCTATTGATCATATAGATGGTCTATATGAAGATTATGATTGGATCAATCTCCAAAGTTAAATCTAGAACAATCCTGAATTGATAACTTTGCCCATGGCAATAAAAAGATCAGATCAAATTTACCGATAGAGTGCTTCTGAGAAAAACAGAACCAGATACAAGTACTGGACAGTAAAGGAACCTCCTATCCTAAATACTGGGAGATCTTAATGGAAGGGGAAACCTATAGACCACTTCAAAAGATCAAAATACCAGGTTTAGGATAAAGAAAATTCAATGGCTTGATAATCAACCTGCTCTTAATAAAATTGTGCTAGAAATAATCAAGAAGGAATCACATAACTTTCTGATGAGATAGAACTTATACATATATTATAGTCTATATAACTAGCTAGTATAGATAGAATACTAAAAATAGTTGATGTACAGTATATAATACTTATTTAGCATATATAGGATATAACAGAGTAATATGTTAAGGGAAGGAAGGGCTCAACAATATATGAATATACTGTACTGTTACTAAGTAAACCTAGAAAATAAGTCAAATATAAATTAAAATTTGCTAAATAAAAGTTATGGCCCTAACTATCCCAGTGCCTATTCACTTCCCCTATGTCCTAGAGCCCTTCAAAACCCCCAACTTATCATCACCCAGAAGAACATCTGTAGAAGATCCCATACTGGATAGGATATGAAAGGAAAAGACAAGAACTAATAGATAAGGATTATGACATAGAGATACTGAAAGCAGTGAAGGAACAGGCACTGTATCCTGAACTGATGAAGCCCTTGAAGAGTAACCAGCCTATGGTATCAATATGGTAGTAGTAGCTAGGGATCGTAATGGATCGAATCAAATCAGATTTTAGGTTAATCTGATTTGAATCTGATCAGATCAGTTTTTATTTGATTCGATCCGTATCTGAATGAATTTATTTATATATATATATATATATATATTTTTTTTTTTAATTAGTCCAACTGACAGGACGAATCTTTATTTGAGAGATCAGTAGTACATTTTTCGGATTACATGAGTGATTCATATAACTTTATTTTTAACTACCTACTCTAACCAAAGTTTGCAAATTTTACCATGTTAGTGATACCATTTTTGTCAGTTACCCTGCTTTGCCCGGGACTATAGTGTTCCGAAAGGCCGCTATGGACTTCTTATTGTTAATATTCAAGGGGCTATGTTGTGTATTTTTTAGTAAGGTCTTGTTTACCACTTGATGTTCGTGGGTTTCATGGATGATCCCTGCTATATTTGAGTCCTCTGCAGGCTAGTTGAAACTTAGATAGCACAAATCTCTGGTCATGTTCTTGATATTTAGGTGATTCAATGGTGTCATGTAATTGTGTGGCATATAGCCTTCCATTGCCTCATTTTTAACCACTCTTGCAAGTTTGCCTTACAGGGGTTTCTCTTAGTTATTTTGTAATGGATTGCTCCTCCTATTGA